CGAGTAATTTACAATAAATGTTTGCACACCCAATCCTATCATTTTTAAATACTGTGGCGTTCTGTCACAATCGCGTCTTTTCCCACGCCTTTCCCTGGTCAGAACCAAAGACAGTGTTTTCAGTTTTCTGCATATCAGGGGGAGAATTACAAATTTCACAATAAAATGTGAACACATTTGTCGTTTTTACTAAAATCCCTCACTACAAACACCTCATTTAACGAACATAACATTGAACACTTTCCCCTTCGCTGATTAGCTCCTTCCGGAAAATATGACGACCGTCCCTTCGCCGTTTTTATAATGGGGCTAAAAAGAGGCGATTTTGTTCAGCGAAGGAACCTTTGATCATATAAATTACAGCAAATCGTTATAAATTAGTTGTTCTTAGGTGTAACTCTAGCTGTTGAACCCCCATCCTCAGTACGAGGCCTGTGACGTAGAACAATATTCTGCATTAAATACAAACAATTTAATAAAAAAATAAACATATCGTTTATTTATATTCCACTACATAAAATATTATGTCCCCTACTGTAATATAGATTTGTTTAGAGTAGGCGTGGTCGCGGCCCGAAAGGTTTAAATGTGTGACGTCATTGGTTACTGAAATTAGGTGGAAAACAATCACCTTCTATAATGAATACAGAGTATATCGACCAATCAATCAATCAATCAATCAATTAATCAATCAATCAGTAAAATAAATAAACTTACAGCAAGTCTCAAAAGTATTGGGGCAGTGAATTTACAAACTTGCTAGCGCATTGACTGTTGAACAACAACTTTAACCACCGTCCCTCAACACCGTTGAGGGACGGTGCTTTAACATATATTATTTTACCTCACAGTGTTGAAAACGGAAAATCCTTATCGTAGTGCGGCGTTGTAAATTTAGTGAGTTTTATCAAGGAACCTTTTTTTTCCTTTACAATAAAAAGCATTTTTTACAGTTTAAAATCGACGTACATTATGGGCATTACTCAGATAATAACGAAAAGAAAAATACAAAACATTACTTCAGAAAAAATAAAAATAAATCTTCTTCCGAAATTCAAAAGATGAGTTTCTCTCAGTGTTTGTTGTCCATTAGATCATCAACTTCCATAGACAGGTTTGCTTGAGCCCCTTCATATGAACGCGTGCGTCGAACTTGAACATACAACGACTTCTTTGAGTAAGCCATTCACTCCAATCAGGTTTCACAAACTTAGCCATAATATTTGTTTAAAGTCATCAATATTGCATACAAATATGACGTCATGTATGTGTACTATTGTTAGTGTTTACATAGCTACACATATTGGGAAAATTTACTAGTTGAGTACTAACTGTAGATGTACCAGTCACCATTTCAAACCAGATGGAATAGATGGCTACTCTTATGTAAAAACATTTTAGTTACAAGTATTATAAATGTTACCAATTATGTTTTTATAGTGTTGTCATTTTCAGTCAAAAAATTCTAAAAAACGCTCAGCACCATACAAGCACTGATTTTATTCGAAACTTGGCGCACAGTAAAAAAGCTACCCATGATATCCAGTGTTATAGTAAGAAGTTTATGACAATGTTGTTTGTGTTTAGTCAAAAATTTAATCTAAATTATATTATCGTCAATTGCTAACCATGTATAAATCATGCAGTTTCTACTACGACTTTCCATTATAAGCACTTGTAATATACCCAAACATACTATAAGAAAATCATTGCATGAGTGTTACCCAGACAAAAAAAACACTTTAAATTTATCTGATCTAAGGTTCGCATAACACGACATAGACCCACTTGACATCAGCAAAGCACGTATTACCGATAAAATATAATATAAAATATAAAAATCATTTGTACCTCGCAACAATTTACACGAGCCTCAACATCGATTATACATACTGTAGCATTATTAAAATAACAGAATCACGCAAATAAAAAGTACGCAATCTGTCGCCAACTTTTCAGACAATTCATCACGATTAAGAACATACGCCCTCTGTTTCATAAGTCAAGAAATATTTAAACACAGCGCCACCCTGCGACTACCTGTTGAAATTCACATTTGAACCGGAAGTGAAAACCTGGATACACACCAGTGATTTCAACAGCGTTAGTAGGGCGATAGTTTGTATCGACCAAGTATAGGGGTGTGGTATACTGCAAAGGTGACACCTATAATAAACTCACAAGACAACAGCTTATCTCTGTGGCACTACGGACTAGCTAACTAGAGACATTACAACGAGGAGAAAACGACCGGAATGGGTAAGTTAACGAATAAATCGCGATTACATTCTTTTTACCTGAAATTGAAAATAGCTCCGAGGTGTTTGAGTTAGATTTCCGTGTACATTCCCCCAAAAAACACCCGCAGCTGATTTGTATTTACCGTGTTGTTAGAGCCGCATTTGTACTACTAGTATACACTATACGATTGTACTACAATGACCACATGTTGTGGTTAATATTGGTCATATTGAACGTGTTGTGTTGTTGGAAGGAAGGAGGGGGTACCTTACTCGTTCCGGTCTTCCCAGATGATCCGCCCTGTTACCAGCCCTCTCCCATATATCATTCAGAGGATTGGCGACATGGCATAGTGTTGAAAGTCTATATAAATTAGTTGAACTCCTATTTTGTAATGTGAAGAATATGTGATACATTTCTTTAAAAAGAATGTATTTACATCAAAAAAGGGGGAACCACCCAATGCTGTTCACAATAGTAACACTTATCGAAGTGTAAATTTGTTTTATGATTGACCTTGATAGTGATTGACCAGCACATTACATGATTTGTCTTGAGGTTCATGGACACGCACTTGTTTAAGCAGTTTAACTCTTATAAATTCCCGTCATAATTACACATTAGTCACCTCTGTTACAACATGAATCATGTCAACATATAGGAAGGACATTCAATGGGATGAGGGAGGGGGATACTGACTGAAATTCTGCCGTTGGGTGTTGGCACTGACGGGGCGAGGCAGTGTAGTAATATGTGCCCAACAATGAGGTGGTTAGTTTATACTGACTATAATTAACTCAATCCAGGAAGCTTTCCTGATCATGCTTAAACACTAGAATTACCCGTAGTTACTTTACAGAGATACACATACACTACTATGTCAAGTTGTTTTAATTGCGTGTACAATAAGACAATGAGTTGTCACTTACACGTTTATTTCACATCAATATAAATTTGTAATTCAGAAGTTACAAGTCCACATTCCAAACCAGGCTGATACTTTGTTCGCATCAAACAAATGTTTCACACATTTGCATGTGATAAATCTTGTATAGTGTCATAAAAACACAAAGGGTCTCACCCAGAAATAATTTTAACTCACTGCTGAAAAACATGTGTAAACAGGGCTAGTTTATCTTACAGTCAAATGGTCGGTCTCAACCTGGGCTCCCTGCAAAACTTAAAGTCGACATAGATTTAAGCTAAGGGTTAAAAAAAAATGCATCCATCAACACTTTGGCGCAAATGTCAGCAACATGAATTGATTGAATACTGGCAAGTCGCAAGAGAAGTACTCTGTTAATATTTTGTAGAAAAAAACAAGATTGTTGATTTCAATTTGGGGAAACAGGTGTGTTTGGACATACTACATGTACAAGTTCAAAACACAATAGGAAGATATATAGACCTGGGTATTTGTATTAAAATCTCATTAAGCCTTCACATTGACAGCACTGAGGCATTGGAAATGCAAAAATTTGATGCCTTTTTTGTAACAAAATTACAATAGCATTTAATGCTGAGTTTAATCCATTGAAAGAAATGTCTACAATGCAGTTTATTAGCACCCAATTTATGACTAGGCTTTATACCTAGAACAACAAATTAAAACATTAGTATACATGTGCATGCATGATTTGGGTGGAAGAAAGGGTCTACTTTTAAAGAGGTTATCATATTTGCTTTATTGGTAATGTATGCGCCAAATAAATTACACAGATGTTTCTATGGTCAAAATAATGTTTCAATGATTCCAGTATACAACCAATGTGATTTCTAGTTTATGTATGATTCTATTGAGGATGTACAATGTACTTCAAATAGTTTGAGCAGTAGCCACATTGTTTTTCTTAGCAAAATACCATCCTGCTTAGCCACTATAGACAAACAGGGAGACGAGCATTTTGTAAGATCGTGTTATTGTGTCTAATTCATAAGGGCAACAAATTAAAAATGGTACAATAATACACTAATTTAGTACCCGGTAGATACTGATTTTGTGATGTTTATCTTTCTGACATGTTCACAAATGATGACTATTTGCTCTGACTATTACTATTACTTGTTTTGAAACTACTCTTATGGTGGCAAAATTGATATATATTTTTTGTACTACAGGTATTGTTTGATAATTGAATTTAAATATACTCTGTGATGAAGTAAATAAATTTAACTTCTCATTTGCATGTGTATAATAATTCGATGTCAATATTATCTCCAGTTTTAAACAAATTAACTCATCAATAACATGTAACAACTGCATGGTGTTTATTTCAATTCTACCTTATTTGGACACTGTGTTGACATCTAGCTAGCTACCATGGGTGAGTGTTTCTCCTGACTCAATAAGAAGGCCATATCCACTGGCCAGAATTAATTCACTGATTGATTGATTTAATATTAAACATGTGCTTGTTGGTTGACACTTGGACAGTTCATTAAATTGCCATAAGACATTAATAATGCCATTGTGATAAGAAGATGGGCACACAAATGACAAAATACACTACATTTATGTCTGAGCACTCATACGTGTAATTTGCACACACAAAAAAAGTCTGGAAAAACAACAGTGACATTTAATATCCGGAACTGTCACCTAATACAAATTATTAATTAAAAAAACAACAAATACATACACAAACTCAGTTTAGCATTCAAATCTGAGCAGTAATTTGACACCATCTGAATTCCACAAGGCTACTCCATGTCAGACCGTATTTGATACCTGCTTGGAAAATATGGCAGAGCCAAAACAAATATAGAACAAAAACATGTACTGTTTACCAAGGCCTCTAGGAAAATTGCACTCTGTATATCTACTTTAAACCACTTAAACCACTGGATTTTACAACTTATTTACCTCTTTAGAATATTAATTCCTCGTTATTAATTCCCTGCCTTCAACAAGTTAAGATCTTAAAGTTTCTGAGAAAAAAACACTAAATACCAACCCATATTAAAATTCTGCTGTACTAGTAGTTGTAGTAGTAGGAAGTTTTGGAGTTGAGATGGACGCCTATTTTAAACACCAAATTTTATGAAATTGCCTTAGCATATATGGAAAATACAGAGAATATTTAAGTTGACAAAACTAGTTGTGCAACTTGACAGCGATGGTCCAACTTAGTATTTTGATTTGCCAATAAGTGTTTTATGTTCTCTGCGTGATCTCGCGTAATGTTTGAAAGACATGGTCCAAATGCCTGTTGCAAAAGTAAAAAGATTTGATTTTGAACTTGAATTTCCCCCTTTTTTAATAGTTAATGTCAAAATTCCTATCTTTCAGAGTTGAGAGAGTTGAATATGGCGATACCCATACATCAAAATTGTCGATCATCAAATATGTACCGGTATACCATAGTATATTATTAAGCATTGAATTCCCAAAAAACACTGTTTCGCATATGTAGAGTCCCACATTATGTTTTAATGCTACTATGACACTGTGACCGTTGATTGTCCTTTTTTTACAGTCAAGATCACCAGGAAACAGAAAAACAATACTGTAAAGGGGTTACCCGGTAATTATTCACTAGGTTTTAATTTTGCTTATTTCGCTGACTGGAAAATGCGCTAAATTAAAACCCAGTGTATATGTCAAATTTAGCATAGAACACATTATCTAAATGATAAAACCGTGAATTTAAAACCTACTGAATATGCCTGAAATGGTAAATCAGTGAAATTTAAAGCCAGTGAAAATTAGTCATTTTACAGTATTTGAATGCATGCATGTTCAGTTCATAACCTTTTGAGTACCAAAATCAACTTTTGTCGTCTTTCACAAATTTTAAACTCTCCTAATTTTTTCAAAATTTGGATCAAGACTTGGAAATTTTGTTCATTTTGTCCAAAATTATCGACAACAAAATAATAGAAAAATACATAAAAACAGGCAAAAGTTGCAAATTTTCTCCGTGAAAAAATGATCATGCTCAAAGGAAGATAATAAAATATATTTTCATAACTGAAAAACAAAACTATCTTTTTAATGAAGTAATTAAAGTACTTGACATAACCCGATAGTCGTAACTCAAAGTGCAAATATATTCTTTTCTTTCATTTCCTTATCAATTGAATCCTATTTATGGACAACCAATATGACCATAATGACAAGGAAATGATCATATAATTGACATGCATGTAAAGTAATTTTGCTTGTTTGGTCCAAAATTATGATTAAATTCAGTGAAAATTACATAAAATGTAAACAAGTTTACCCTCAATACAGAAATTCATAAGAAATGATATTAGTATTTGTTAAATTAAAATAGAAATGTTATGAATGTGTTTGTAAGTACATGTATTCAAATCTCGCAGTAGGAATCTAATTTACATATTTATTTAGTATATCAGAGGTGAGCTGCTTGAGTTATAGATATTGTGTTGGGTCATCAAGTTAGTGATACACAGGAAGCTTGAATTTAAAGTGTCAAAAGTCATGATGTAAAACTTCTGCATTTTCACCCTATTTCTAATTGGAAAATAGGGTTGGAAAAGTAGGATTGCCTGTTCTTAATTTGGTCATACAATGCTGTTCTATGATGGATTTGTTATTGTTGATGGGTATTTTTTGTTTGTAAAGTTGGTTTTTAATTAGTTTTCAAAGCTTATTTTGTGATGTTTTCTTTTAATATTTATGCAACTCTAACATTCTCTATTACTGGTCACTTGACCCTTTTCCATAATGCACCCACCTCGACTTTACCCTAACCCTATCCTACCTTCAGTGTTTGTCATACACATCAACAAATTGATGGCCCACAGGATCTCTAAGTTGAAAAATTTGTTGACTCTGCTTGAATAAATAGATTGTACTCAAAATAAAACATTATTTATTATTATACAACCAACGCGCTGATGAAAAGTAGGCCAAGTTGGGCCATTACATTCTGAAACATTTTTGCCCAGGGGTCTGCCTTAGTTTTGAACACCGCCTACCTCGCCCAAGACTGTTCTTTTCCTCACCCTATCTCCACCTAATTTAACCCTTTTTCTGCCCTTTGAAGTCTAAC